GCTCACCTATCTTTCCTGCCGCCTCAGTCTCCTAGCTAAGGCTAGCATCAACAGGTAGCGTACGCATGTGCCGTGCTGAGGCAGAGCTCCTGAGCAGGCATGTGTGGGGCTGCCCGAAGGAAACGGCATACCCACCTGCTTTTGATTTGCTGCAAACTTATCAGTACAATTTATTTTTACCATATTCTTGCCTACTCCTTATTTCCACTATCTGCATTTCTTGGAGCAAGCATCTTCCAAGTAATATTGCCATTTGAATGATAAGATCAAAAATCCCAAAAGATCAGTAATCAGCAATCTTGTCAAAGCAGCTATGCTTGAAATTTCTACCATAAGAGAAACAGTTAATGATAAAAATTCACGTTTAGAAAAAAAGGAAGAAAATTACATGAAAAGCACTTGCTAAACAAGCATTTATTTTCAGTTTTTTAAAAAAAGTTTCCTTTTTCATAGACAAAAAATTTACCTATAATGTGTGTGTGTGAGAGAGAGAGAGAGGCAGTTAACTGAAGATGGAATCATTTTTGGACTTGTAGAAGTACCCCAAATAATTTCTAAGTTCAACTGATTTTAATGAAACATTAGCCCTTATATGCCCGCAAAGAAAGAGACAATTATAGTAAGATTTTTTTTTTTAATTGAAGGAAAAAAAATCGCATTGCTCCCTTTGCCGTTTGTTTATTCTGGCTTGTTAATGACTCAAGATAAAAAAGCAGATATGCTGATTAATCAAGTCTTATCGATCAGTAGCATATGTCAATATTTCACACAAATATCTACAGAACAATTTCTCCCAATCAAAAATTTATAAATCAATTTAACTTCCTGGTAATTAAATTTATTAGCCCCACAACAATAAATGTGGTACTTTATAAAAGTAGTATGTGAAATTTGTACTCAAGAAGATATTGATCAAAGGCAAAACAGCAAACATTTCTATACACCAAGGTCCTAAGAACAAACTGGAAAGTAAATAATCATAAAAGCCTGCAATTGTTTCAAATACACCTAGCAATTCTGCTGATTTCGGACCATTAAAACTGATTACTTAATTAGGCAATCATTCAAGGCATCTAAACATTCACAGACAAAAACAGGGAGTCATTAGCAGAGCCGTCTTCACCTTGAGATGAAAATTCTGAACAATGTTGCAGACACGAAAACTTTCGGGATCTGTCCCCATGCGTGAACTAAGCAAAATAATAAAATCTAAAAGGTAACAACCAAAGCTAAGGAAAAAAATAATCTGCCTATAGTGATATCACTAATTTGTCTTTTCAAGTAGCTAATACTTTAAACAATCTGAGAAATGCCAAGTTATAATACAGATATTCTCTATCAATTCTTGGAAGTACTACTTTTCTCCCCTCTGGTCATACTCTTACACTATCTAAAAGTAATTAATAAAATTTCTGCTCTCTTGTATGTCTATCAGAAGTACCTGCCTACAAACAGGTTTTCAAAGTTCCTACCTAACATGAATAAAAACCACAAAAAGATTTTCTATTTATGGAAAAAAAAAAAAAAAAAAGCCATTGGGAGTTTTATGATAAGTACATTAAAAAAAAAAAAAAAAAAACCACAACCGAGTACTGGAACCTCAGCCACTGGAGTCTTTAATGTAACTAAAGAAAAAAAAAAATAATAATATCTATGTTTTCACTCAGAAGATACCAGAGATAATTTCAACAATACCACTGATTTGGTACAGTCAGGAGAAAGAAAAATATTCTCTGCCCTCCCTCCCCCAAAAAATGGTTCCTGAAATAATTCTAAAGAGACCCTATAAACTGTCTTTTTTAAGAGAAGAGAAAAAGGAAGTCAACTCACACACACAGCTTCCAATCAGAAGTCTTACTCTCTTCCAGGAAAACAACAATGAGACTTTATTACCCTGCTATGATTCTTTCATTTCGGACATGATTAATTAGCAAGTATTACACTTTCCAAAACTCCCACCACACTCTTCGTGGCCTATCAGCCTAGTTGTTGAGAGATCTATATGAAAGAGCAAGTAACCAACAGCAGTATAAGACAAGTATCCAAAAACTATTTCAAAGGAACACTTCTCTCCTATCTTTGCCTCCCAAAATGAAGCAGGCTGCTTTTAACTGCTTTCACAAAAAAATTTTCTTAATTGGTCATTTTCTTAACAATACCTTTTAAAATTTGAATAATGCATGCAACATATTCAGGATTCAAGAATACATGGCATGTAATTTATTTGTTACCTACCTATATTTTCAGGCTGGAATTCCAAACGACTTGAGTGAGTCCATGTAGTTTACCCTGATAACTATCCACATGAACAATTAATAAACAATAAAGATGATGTGAGCAAGCATGTTTCGGGAAATGGTTTCTATAGAAAAAAAAAAATGTTTCTTTCCCAAAGAAAAGCTAATATGTCACACATATAATGATGAGAGGAAACAGCAGTAAAGAACTAAAAGAGAGGATGAAAGGAAGAGGGCAACTCTAAAATTTGAATGAATGAAAACTCTGATTCTCCGCATATTGTTCCAAAACACCCTCTCAAAATAATTTTCCCTTTAAAACGATCTATTTTCAAAATGTCCATGGGAACCAAGAAGCCAGAACCATGTGAATGTACTATAAATACATATTTAACAACCACCAGTTTATAAAGGTTAGGGTTTCCCCCTTCAACCTCTCAACTCTTCTGTCCAAAAAAACTTCACACATAGTACAGTACTAATAAATAGATCTTGTTGGTTCCAGGAAACATTTTTTTTTAATCTATTCTGGCCATAATATCCTTGCTTTTTTTCTGTTGTATTAAATTTAGGATCAAAAACATCAAAGCAGCTTCCACCTCGGACCTAACTTTTAGAGAATCAATGTGACAAGGCAGTCCCTGATAGATGTTTCTCTTGATAAACGACTTGTTCAAAAGAGACATTGTAGCTTTCATTTCCTGACCACAACACACTTTTAATTTGCAACAGCAGAGCTGCCAGAGTGAGAGCACTTGCCCACTTTCCAGCCTTTTAGGTTTGTAACTCTGGTTCCTTTAGGCCACACGTTTGAGACAAACAAAATCTAAAAATAATCAGTGATAGAATTACAAAATAGGAACCACCAATGCCACTTTATACATATACACAAGTGTCTACTTTATATATATATGTATATATATATATACACATATATATATGTGTGTGTGTGTGTATATATATATATATATAAACTTTTCCTCCCCAGAATTCTAGTGTGTGATAAGGCTCCTGAGTGACCATCATTTGCACAACAAGCATTTAAACACAGAGAAATAAATTACGTGACTATTATTTAATAGTAAGCAGAGACAGGGGAGGGGGGCAATTTACACACTTAAATCTGCTGTTAAATGTCATGAATTATATGATTGCCTACCCCAATGTGTTTTTTACATATTATTGCAATGATTATTATTACTACTACTCAGAAATCACATTTAAGTATCAATACGGTGAACAGTCAAACCATCCAATTTCTGCTCTCAGCACATTGTCCGAGCTCCGATTTAAAATTTATAAATGTAATATCCTCCTCATCACAGGCAGCAGCCCAATCTGCTCTGAATATATATTACAGCTTTAACATCACAGAGGGAAATCGCCCATCTGGCAATCCCATTCGCTCCAACAGCTCCGGGGGAAAAAAAGCTGTGCTCTCTCCTCCTTAAAACATTTCTCAGGGCAAATTATGTGCATCTAAAATAAACAGTCTTCTTATTGATCGCTTCAAAGTCAACAAGTTCCAAATGCAAAATTCAAATCCTTTTCTATCGTGTGAGAGCAGTGTGTGTTCAGCTCAATAGTCACCAGAGTCCAACCAGAAGTGGATGTCGCGCAGCGGCTCCAGTAGTGCCTTTCCTTGTATTCACATTTGTGTTATGAGAGAGCAGTAACCACGGCCACATTACAGACCCCTGGCAGCTCTCCCCACTGCTATTTCTTTCTTTCATATTCTCCCTTTCCTTCTCTCTCTTTTCAGGGTCAATGCATGGTGGTGGGGTAAAGGTAACCAAAAAAAAAAAAAACCACACACAAACAACAACGACAAAAACCCAAACCAGTATAAAGTGGACATATCCTGTGGTCATGCAAAATACTTGTAACATCTTTTTGTTGTCCCCTCTTAGTCTTAATTGAATATCACAAAGTGTACAAATGGTACGGTCAAAGAGCTATTGAAAACCCCCTCTCACTCTATTTATCTGACCTTTTTTTTTTTGTAAAGAAAGAGGAAAGAGCGGTTTCAAACAAAGTCAATTTCAGTGCTTGATTATTTAATTCTGTCACAGGTTAAAAGTAAAAAGCGCTGACAGGCAGACAAGTGAATGGCAAGGGAAAAAAAAAAAAAAAACTACCACTGTTCCTTAAAAGGCATTAAAGACGTAAAGCAATTAAAATATATATATATTTTTTATTTTTATGTAAAAGATAGCCCTTCACTCACTCACCCAAAAAAACCACTCAGAGGAACTGATTACTCCACAAAGTGTAATCATCCAGAGAGCAGATAGTCAAATTGCATTAATAGGTTGAGAAAAAAAAAAAATTCATCCAGTTTTGTGTGTGTACATATATATTTATATACTTTCATTAGTAAGCAGTCTTTGCCCACACTCCCGCCCTCTCCCCTCTCCACCCAGCCTCCTCCCCAAAAAACCCCACACTGAGTTTAACTAATTTACATACCATTTGACTTCAGCGGTTATATAGTGCATTACTAGTAACATGAAACTTTGGGATTACCGCTAAAACCGATAAAAGTGGACTCCAGTAATCTATTAATCAAAACTGAAATATAAACAAGTGATAGCAAAAGCAAACAAGCATTTTGACAGATTAAAATATACATATATATATTTAAAGGAATTATATATCATGAGCATCTGCTTCCCAAGGAGAGTCTTCAATGGTTTTTATCATGCTATGTAATTTGTCTTTCCTATTTAGATGCAAAGGAAGTAAATTCCAAAACTGACATACCATAAACACTGGTGCTACTGATCATTTCTTGCTGGCAGCACAAAAAGCTGAATTGGATTTCTCACAAGCAGGAATTCCAAAGGTTGCTTTTCATTAAAGCCACTTTTCCTCTCAGCTATCAAATGTCACTGCCTTGAAACGTGGGCCCTTTCGTCAGGTATTCATTTAACCTACATGCATATAATTAAGGGGGAAAGCAACATCAACAAAAAGGGGATCTCAGATCACAGGAGAAGAAAGAAAGGAAAAAAAGCACATGACCAGGAATGCAAGTCCATGTCAATTTCACTCACTCCCATTGAAACTAACAAGAGCTCCGGGGAGGACGGTAATAGGATCAGTGGATTGTATATACCATTAAATTATACATCTTTCTCTCCCGTTCCTTGCCAACAATACGCCCACCACGCTGTACCCCCTCCAAGATGATGTGCTTACATTTTTCTGCAACCGATCTTCTGACATTTTCACGTTCCCCCAGCCACGAGACTGTAATTTAACCTCAACTTTTTGTGTGTGCAAGATTCTTATTTACACTTCTTATTTACTTAGAAGTTAGTTCCCGAAGAAAGTCTAGCCCCACCCTATGGCTCCGCTTTCTTATTTTTTATTTTTGAAGTAAAAAGATAGTAGTAAGTAAGCCCAATATAGCGGAAAACGAGATTTTTGCTATCGCGAACTCTTAATCCAATACTATTGTTACAATGATTAAGCAGCAAAAAATATGCATTATAATGTTTCAGGGCTACTTTGTACAGAGAAATTAGACAGCAGGTTGGCGTACAGAATAGAAGCGAATGCAAATTAAATTTAATGTTTACGGCACAACTCGAAGATCTCTTTTTATTACGGGTCTTGGATTTATTTATAGTCTCAAAAAATAAAACAAACAAAAACAAAAACAAATTTAAACAGATGGTAGAAAACTACGAAGCTCCTCTTACCTGAATGCGCGGAGCGAAAACCCGATAGGTTAGCGTAGCATCGATCCGATGTGTTTGCTGATGAATGGAAGCTAGGGTTAAGTGAAGGTGCCTATGATTTGAAATCATTCCAAGTTTTTGAAGGGAAGACGGACTGCAGCCTCTGCCATGTTGGAATTTCAAACCCAAAACAGCTGCTTGGAAGGAGCCAGCATGCCAGAGGCTGGGCGCAGGCGCAGAGCGCCGCCGAGCCAAATTCAAATCACTTTCACACTAAGAGCCAAAGATCAGTTTTCAAAGGAGAGAGGGAGAAAGAGACCGAGGCTGCCGAGAGGGAGAGAAGACGGGAGGCAGTGGCGAGAGGCGGGCAGTGGAGAGAGACGGGCAGCGGGAGGACCGGGAGGGAGAGGGAGAGGCGCACGGAGCCCGCGGAGCTGGAGGGGGAGAAAGGGAGGCGGGAGGCGAGCGGGCGAGCGAGCGAGAGACGCGCCAGAGATTCATGGGCAGGGAGGGCTCAATGGCCGCGCCGCGCTGGCCGGCCAGCCGCTCGGGTCATGTTACACGGCCGGGGCCGCGGCGGCCGCCCAGCCTCCCCGACGCGCTCACGCGGCCCGGAGGGGGCCCCGAGGTCATGATTACGCGCGCGGGGATCCGGAGCTCTCCCTGCCCGCGCTCTCCGGTGGCCCAGCCTGGGGAAGGGGGAGCAATGCCTTGGGGTGGGGGGTAGGGAAGGGGCCTTTCTTTCCCACGCGTGACCAGCCGGCCCTTGCGCGCCCCAGCCAGCCTGGGAGGGCCCGGGACAGGGCTGCGCGGCTCTCGCGCCCGCGGGCCCCTCCCTGCCCGCTCCCGGCCCTCTCGACAGCTGCGGCCAGTCCACCCTTCTCCACCCCCCAGGACTCCGCACACAGGACAGGATCTGGCCCCGAGAAGCCGGGACCTCACCCGCACTCTCCCCTGGGCCCCCAGCACTAGCCAGAAAATGACTTTATCTGCTAAGAAGAGGCAACTTCGGGGGAGGGGGGAGAATCCGAATTAAGCCGGTTCCCCTCCCCCGCCTCCTTGTGAATAAATAAAATCATAAGTGTCTAGGTGTGCGGTCCACTCTCGCGCTTCCCTGGTTCCCCTCCCTACCTCCCCCAGGCGGCTCGGGCAGGGGAAGCAGCGCCTGGGGGCCCCCGGTGCGGGCTGCTGGTGCGCGAGCATAGACGTTAGGCTCCTGCTTTCCCAACCCCCTTCTTGGAACAAGCTGGGGACCCAGGAGTGGGAAAAGAGTAGGGGCTTTGTGGTGCTGGGAGCTGAGGAAGAATGAAATGTGCAGTTGAGTGTGTTGCTCGCATCCCAGGGAGCAATGCAGTGCTGATTGTCTGTTGCTGAGATAGCCTTTTGTTCGGAACATAAGGTTTAAGAAACACACACACGTTTTCTGGGGTCTCTTGTTAGATGTAAATGTGCTGCATCCAGACGCTTACTATGCAGTGTAAGCTCAGTTGGTTTACTAATCACCCCGCCCCACCCCCAAACAACCAGGATCATTTGAATGGGAACCTCATTCAGACTTCTAGGCTGCGAGGATTGCCTTCAACCTATTTCATTCTAGACTAGCCAACCATCCAACTGAGATAATAAAGCAAACAATAACATTTGATCATGATGTCTACGAGATAATGTGCCCGGCAAAGTTCTTTAGGAATTGTAATGAGCAAGAGAGTGAGTGAGGTAATAATTTCTCTTCGTTTTCATTAAATAAGACTTTAATAGATAAATGGTAAGTTTATGCTTTGGCCTGGTGGACATCCAGTCCTCTCCATTGCAACTAAGCTAAGAATGAAAGAGGCAAATTATATATTCGACCAGGAGCCCATGAAGCTGAGAATGTTACCTTTGAAGGTTGGCAACGAAAATAGACTTGTTTAGGACTGACCCTCCTTATAACGGGTGTTCACATTCCCCCCTGCTTCTCTGCTATAGATTTAATAGACTAAATTGCAGGTCTCCAGATGATGAAATGCAGCTTTTAAAAGATACCACATATATACTTTGAAATTAATTTCATTCTCCTTTTGTGATTTTCTTACCTGTGAATGGATAGCCATTGAATGGATGCATTTAGCTAACACAATGAGAAAGAAAAATTATTTTAGTTAAATCTAGGCAGATGACAGAATTTAAAAGACAAAAGGAAGTGATTCAAGATCTTACCAAATATTTCTAAAGAATGAGATTTCTATTTGGAATGGATTTGACCTTTCTGTGCATTTTTTTAAACCAGGCTTCAAAATAAAACAGAAGAACTTTATTCTGATGTAACAGAGAACACTGGAGCCCCTTTAGTTATGTTTTACAAGATAGCTTTGAAAATGATATTATGAAAAGTTGCCCATTGGATTTCACCACAAAGAAATAAGTGTAGAAAAATATCTATGGGTCACTGTTGGATTGAGTACAGATGAATTAAAAAACAACAACTGTGAAGAACTTATAATTTCAGTTATTGCCCATTTGGAGAATGACGACGAGAAGTCCTCTGGACACACAGCAGACGCTCTGTGCAATTCAAGCAAAACTGCTCTGTCCTTGTTTGTTAAAAAAAGTTCAAAGCTCATCAACCTTTAACACTAAATTCCTCATATTGAATTTACAGTTCCTTATGTAAACCAAAATGCCAAATAAAATATATAGGATAGAATATCCACTGAGTAAAAATATATATATATATTATAAATATATATT